GTTTATGTGTTCCCTGTCCGCAGGGCAAACCCGCCACCCCAAACCCCACCATCCTGAGGGCAAATAGCTCTGCTGGGGAGAAGAGCCCCGCAGTCCTCCCCAGCCTCCCAGTGCCGCTGGGGGCTGGAGCCCGCCCCCAGGCTCTTCCCAAATCCCCTGGGAAAGCAGCGTGGTGGGCAAGCGGGCACCCTTGGCTGCTCTACCTCACTCCAGGTGAAGCTGTGCAGCCCGCCGTCCTCGGGCCGCTCGCTGTTCAGGAGGGTGCCAAACCGGGGGGGCTCGAGCACCTTGAACTCCATGCCGAGAGCTGTGAAGTAGGCGTTGGGGATGTTGAGGGTGCCCGTGGAGAGGGTGACAGAGCCACCTCCCAGCACTGTGATGTTGTGGACATCCAGGGGGATGGTGATGGGGAGCACGGTCAGGCTCACCACCACCCCTTCCAGCGGGTCTGCACTGCTGGCCGTGATGTCCACAACAAACCGGTCATGGTCCTCCTCTGGCTTGGAGTGGAGGTAGAGGACTCTGCCGTTGTTGATGTCTTCCTGGGTGAAGGACTGGATGGGGTCCAGGCTGGGCTGCTCGTTTGAGTCTTGGCCATGCTGAAGCATCGCCAGGAAGCCGGAGGCCGGGGGACTGCTCACCAGGTAGACTATGTCTTGGGGAGGGATTTCTTCGTGGGTCACCTGGGAGTACGGGCGAGACAAGGCATGAGTAGGGATCTGGTGCGTGTAAGGCTGGGCTGCTCCACAGCCCACCACTGTGCAATCCCTCAAGGCTTTGCTGTGGGATGAGCTGCAAGAGTGCCCTTCTTGCTGAGGCTATGCCTGAACCCTGCCTCTACCCCTGGGCAAAGACTGACATAGGCACAAGCCCCTTGCTCTGGGCAGGTGGAAGTAAAATGGAGTGCCACCAGTGGCTGTCCTGGTTTGGTGGTCAGGGAAGTAATGCTGGCTTAGGGAATGACTAGAGAAGGGGATACTCACCAGTAAGTACTCCTCCTTGATCCCAGCCGCTTCCCCCTGGAAGACGTGGATCTCCTTGTGGTTGACTATGCGCAGGGGGCTGGGATGGGTGCCCAAGAACACGCTGATGGCCAATGTGTCCTCCACCGCCACCTCGTTCGCTTCTACAGTGAACTGGAGCTCATCCCGGGTGTTCCTGCTCCCGTTGTGGTGGTAGGAGATCTCTCCTGCTAGCAGGTCCCTCTGGGAGAAGGCCATGACTGGCTGCTCCCCTCTCAGCACAGTCCCCCACCTTGGGGGGGTCGTTATCAGGAACCGTATCTCTTCATCTGACCTGATGTCCATGTTGGTCTCCAGGCTGAGGACAGAGGAGTCAATACTACCTCGGCTGCCTTGGTGGATGACTAGACCGGTGTTGTTGACTATTTTGATGTAGGGGTCTGATGCCTGTACTTCCAGGAGGGCTGTGGTTTGGTGAAGACCATCTGAGACCTGTAGCTGGATCCAGCCCCGGTCAGCCCCTGAATGGACAAAGAGGATCTTCTTCTTCCTCAAGTCATCCTGTGTGAACCGATAGACCTGGTGGCTTCTGTCATCAACAGACACAATGCTGCCAAACAAAATGTCCTTCCTTGCCAGCACTAGCTGTGTGTCGGAGAAGCCAGAGTCCTTGTCAGTGAAGGCGATGTCATCTGTCGTCAGCAGGTGCTGCCCATTGCGCACCACATTGAAGACCTTGTTCACCACCTGGACTGGGGTGTGGTCATTGACGGGTTGGATGGAGACCCTGAAAACACCTCTCACCTCCTCCGCATCAGGCTCAGCGCTGCCCTCACCCTGCCTGATCGCTACAAAGGGGATGTCGTCCTCCAGTGTCTCGGAGTCATCGTGCTGGTACAGCAGCCGGCGGTGGAGGATGTCATCGTTGGTGAACTCTGTGATCTCCTCTCTAGAGGCCCAGCCATGGGATGTAGCCCAGGCCAGCCTCCCATGTGCTGGCCCCTCAATCACTTCATAGAGGTAGTCCATGCTGTTCATGCTCTGTACAAACAAGTGGTCCTTGGAGATGATGGCTTGCCCCCCTTCTGGCACAGTCAGGAGGACGTTGGTCAGGGCTGGTGCGTCAGGGTCCCCACCAATGCTGATTGTGTAGGTATAGACAGGAGAGTGCTGCTCGCCAGCATGGACACGAAACTGGAAGGTGTCCTCTGCTTGCTGAGAGTTCCTGATGGTTGAGCTGTAGCTCAGGTGGTTTCTTTGCAGGTCATCTTGGGTAAATCCAAAACCCTCGGTCAGCCTGTTGCCGAGCAGCTCCAGGTTTCCCTTTTTGGGAGCCTGGATTATCATGTAGTGGAAGGGGACTGGGGCAGAGTTTGGATCTTCCAACATTGCCTCCAACTCCTTACTGGTGATATTTCTGTGCCGCTTGTTCTTCATCTGGAGGGGGACCATGGTCCTCATCTTAATGGTGGCTCTTTTAATCCTTATGAGAAAGGTGTTGTTTTGCAAGATCTTCTGCCCAACCTGGACTTCGAATCTCAGCTTCTCCACAACATCTTCCAGCCAGTGATCCGAGTCTGTGCTAAAATACTGGATGCGCCCTTGCTCCAGGTCTTGCTGGTGGAAGGACTCGACTTTTTTCCATTCCCCTCCCACACTCCCTTGCTTCTGGACCTCACCATACCTTAGGGGCTCTGTGAGGACATACAGGATGGCGACCCGTTGTTTCACGGCATTTGTCTCCACTGACAGGTTGGCTGTGGTAATGCGTGCAGCCCCTCCTTGGGAGATGGAGAGGCCAGTGTTGTTGTGCAGGCGGATGTCAGGGTCAATGGCGAGGATCCTCAGGGTGGCAATGGGGCTTGGGACTGTGCCATCGCTCACCTGCAAGGTGAGCTGTAAGTTTGTCCCAGCCTGGTGCACATAGACTACGTTTCCTGCTTCCAGGTCGCTGCAGGAGAACTCTTCGATGGGCACGCCAGGGTGGAAGTCGTACTCCACATAACCTTCTTCCATCTGCTGGCCACCACGCAGTTGGAATTCGAGGTCGTCACAGGATGTGTCATCATCTAGGACCTGCAGGATGTCTGTGGTCAGGTGTTTCCGTGTGTGCTTTAGGACTGTCATGTGGTTCCCATGGGGAAAGATCACCTGTGGGGCATCATTGATGGGGTTGATCATGATGGGCAGCAGGTACATCTGCCCCTGCCGCAAACACTCTGGGATCCCTTGCTGGGCAGTCACTGTCACCTCCAGCATCAGCTGGTCCATGGGCCCTTCAGAGCCATCGTGGACGTATCTGACTTTCCGATTCACAATGTCCAACAAGGTGAACTTCCTTCTGCTCCTGGACCCAGGAATGTCCAGCTCCAGCTGGCCGTGCCTAGGGTCATTGGTGATGCTAAAGAGTATTTGGGATTGCCGGATGTTTGCAAGGCTCAAATCTACTGTTGGCTGGGCGTGTTTCCACTCCAGATAGGCCATGCCCCCTTCAGAGACGATGATGGGGCTGATGTGCAGCAGCCTGCTGATGTTGGCGAAGGCAGGTGGGAAGCTGTTGTCTGGCTGGCATGGTTCCACCACCAGGCCTGGTGCTCCTGACCAGACATCTGGAGATGGGGAGGTGGGTGCCTCATCCTGCTCATACACCTCGTCATAGTCCCAGTAGTGCTCCTGCTTTCCACAGCCTGATGTGATGCCCGATGTGATCACGGCATCTTGCAGACTCATCCTCTGCAGGTTTATCCGCAGGTCCTCCAAGCAGCCAACAAATGAGTTGTTGGTCATGGTCCACACAGAGGTGAAAGCAAGATGGTGCTCCCTCAGCCTTTGCAAAGCTTTTTCATTCATACCTCCAATGAAGAGGTGTCCCTGAAGGTCCAGGTAGTTGTTGATGCCCCGGTTGGACGTGGATGAGGCGTAGTAATCAATCAGGATCTCAAACTTGTGGATGTCCGTGTAGACTTTGACATAGTGCTGCTGCTCATCACTGATGAAGACGTTGTTGTGCAGGACAATGATGCCGTTCCCCTTCTCAACAAACCCTCTCAGGCGCCCATTGGAGATCTCCAGGTAGAAGAAGTCATTCTCCAGCCCTGCGTGGTAGATGAGGGGTGCCTGGGTGATGCTTGTTGTTATCACAAATTCAATGGTTGCTTCCTCCCTTGCATCCCACATGGGAAACGCAATGTAGGAGTGTGGCCCCAGGAACCCAAAGGGGTCCTCGGGGTCTGCAGAGAACTGCGTGCTGCACCCTTCCTGGACCTGGTGGAAGATCTTGGAGCTGCCGTCAGAGGACAATGGGGAGAGGACATCCAGGCCATTGAATGTCACTAAGTGGAGGCAACCTCTGAAGGGTGAGCTGGCCTTGGCGAGGTATGGCAGGTCAAGGCTGCCTGTCCCACCAGCATAGAGGCCGTACTGGATGTCCAGCTCCCGTACAGGTCCTGTGATGTCCACGGAGCTGTTGAAGAGGCCGTCGATGGTCAGCATCATCCTGCCATCTTCCACCAGCAGCTCCACATCATGCACCACTAGGTTATTGAGCTGCAGCTCTGCTGGGGACTGCAGCATCACCTCTTCTGAGCCCAGCTGCAGCCTGGCCTGCAGGGAAGGACATGGAAAGTGCTCAGCTCAAGCAAGGTGTTATCTGCAGCACAGGAGACACTCCACCTATCAGAAATACCCACTGAAGTGTGGACTGTTCCTGGGGGCTCACAAGTGTTTTGGTCCCTCTGTTTACTACTGTTCATCCTGCCCTCTTCCTCCTCTGTGCATGTTCTTCCCTCCCCAGATAGATACCCCTGTGGGCATGCCTTCTGTCCTGCTCTCTGAGTTTCTCTCCTTTTTCACTCTTTCTCAGCAAACTCCAGTCTCAAGGCTATTTCCCTGGGGTCCTCCATCTCCCAGTCCCGCTGCCCCACTGCTGGGCTTTCCCTCTCCCCCCACCAGATGCTGCCTCCTCTTCCCCTGCTCCAACCTGCCTGTTGCCCTTCATCCCTGCAGCCTGGGCTGCTTCCAGCCCTTGCCCTGGGAACAGGCAGGGGAAATAGCAGGCTTTGCTCCCCGCAAGCAGCAGCCTGGAGCCTGCCTAAGTAGAGGGTTAGCTGATGGACCCTGAGACACACGGTCTGCATTAGGGAGACCTCTGGCCAGCTGCTTGCTTGCTCTCCTGCTTTGGTTTAGATGTGGTTGGTGGCCCAGCCCAGGCTGCAGGAGAGGTGGGGTGTGTGCCTTGGGTGCTCCCTGCTCTTTTCCTTCATGGTGGATGCCAACACCACAACCACAAGAGGGAATTTTGTTCTTCTGTCCCTTCCCATGCCCCAGTTGGGCTTGGCCCACGGTGGGATGGGGGAGTCTGCTGATGGAAACCTCTCCTTTCTCTGGATCCTCTCGGCTTATCCCTTCTCTTCACTAACCCCTTGCACCCTGAGGGTGCTGTGCACCATGTCTGACTGCAATGTTCATGGGGTGCCAGTGTTTGGGTGTCTCCATCATGCTCCTCAGTATCACTGTAGGCAGTGGGTAAGGACCTTCCCAGCTGGAGCCTGTTTCTCTGTATTTAACTGATTCTCCCAAGATTGTGTCCACCCCCTTCTTAAACTTTTTAACATTCCCTGGCAGGGGTCTTGACAGCTCAGCTGTCCGGGCTTGTATCTGGCCCCATGGGCTGCTGCTTTCAGGTGCTGCCCCTTCATCCTTGCACTGAATGAAGCCCTGACACATAGACCCTAGCCTGCGGGGGGGTGCTGACCTGCAGGGTGCCGGCTTGCAGCTGGAGCAGCAGGTGGTCGGGCTGGCCAGCGGCCAGGAAGAGCAGCCCGCTCCCCTGGCTGGTGTAAAGCTGCAGGTGGAGCCGCACCGTGTGAGAAGCATCCGCCAGCGGCATCTCCACGAAGCTGTCCCCGAAGAAAGAGGCTGGGGAGAAAAGAGAGAGGGTCAGGGAGGGAAGGACACCCCCCCCACAAGCCCTGTCTGCATGGGTGCTGTGAATCTGGAGCCCCCTGAGCCTGTCTATCAGTCCTTGCCCTCCTGGGCTCCCCGTTTGTCCTGTGACAGGGTGCTGGAGCCCCGCAGCCTGGAAAGACCCTCAGGGGAGTCTGTTTTTTGATTTTCCTAGGGGAAGGAGTTTCTAGGGGCTGGGTGTGTGGAGGCAGAGGCTGTGTTTCTCCTTGCACATACAGCATTTAGAGGAACCTTCCTCCATGTCACGTGGTTAGGGCAGATGCAGTAGCACCTATCATCAGGCTGAGTTCCTGAGCATTAGGAGGCAAGACATTACCCTAATGAGTCTTTCCCACTTCTGCCACAGCTGTCTCCCTTTGGAGCAATACGAACCCTTCCAGTGGTGGCTGTGTTATGCCTTGGCTGGATGCCCCGGCTGGTGCCAATCACTGCTGAACTCTCTGATGCTGTATGGGAGCCCCCGGGATGCCACTGGGTGAGCCAACACCATGTTCTGCCCTTCTCCCTATTTTACATGGCTTTCTAAAAGCTCTTCATGTCATCCAAGCATTGCTGATGTTCACCCTGAAGGTGGCTGCTCCGTCAGTGCTGGAGGAACAAATGCGTGTGCCTGTGATCCATATGTGGATGTGAGACTGTACGGAAACCTCAGCTCAAACAGGGTGCCTGAAGCTGCAACTGGAACGTGTTCAACACCCAGTATACATCAGCCTTGCAGGAACTCAGTGCAATGGCATGTGGTCATGAAATGAAAGACTGTGTCACAGGGCATATGTGGGAGAGGGCAGAATTAAAAACACAGGGAGTGGCAAGGCTTAATTTTACAGTGCTTATACTTTTTTGCTGGCTCAGTGCACATTAAATGTGTGTGTCTGCGATGCACTGCCACCCATTCTGGTTAGCTCCAGAGCAACTCATGGCAAAATTAACTCTGCGCTTGCAGGGCAAGGCATAAACACTCAGAAGACCTGTAAGTTGTAAATATTTGGGGACGATATGTCGGGGGGGTGTGTGTGGGTGAACATGCGTATTTTCAGTTCATATGTAGTCACAGTCCGTAAAGCCCGCTGTGCTCGAGTTTATACGTGCGGAGCTTGCCTGCTATACTTCACTATTGCACTTTTTGTCATCAGACCCATGCTTGGGTTTGGGGTCCCACGTGCAGTTTGCTGAGGTGCCATGCGACAACAAGGATGAGGCTTGGGCTTGCTTCGCCCAGGGTCCCAGCCCAGCCCCTGCTCTCTTTTGGAGGAGGCAGGGATGGAGGTTGGGTGCTGGGATGAAACCAGCCTCCTGTATGACGAAGTCTGGGTGTAAACACCCATGTGTGCTCTTACAGCTGCTTTTTTTCCTATTGCCCAAATTTCTGTGGGGCTGACCAGGGTGGGAATGGGCAGGAATTGGGCAGGGTCACCCTGCTCCAGCAGGCAGGCTTTGCTCATGGGGTGGTGCAGCAAGTGAAAACCCAACAACAAGCAGCCACAGTCACGGAGGGTTTGAAACAAGCCCATCATTAGAGGTGACAGTGAGAGTTTGCCTGGCATGGGCAGAGTTGGAGCGCTCTGCTTTGGCTTTTTGCATTTTCTTCTGAGCTGAGCTCTGCAGTGTCCTGCATAGAGGATGCTCTTCTGAGCCTTTCAGGGACAGAGAAGACTCCTTGCCCACACCCCATGAAAAATCATTTCCTGCCGCTGGCAGCAGAGAAAATACCTTGGCTTTCTCCTGGGGTCTGGGAGAATAATGCGTGTGTTGCAAGGACCGTCACCCCACCCGCTCTGCGCAGGGAAGAAATGGCAGCATGGAAATATCTAGTGCTTGCTTCAATACTAAGCCCTTTGCTCAGCCCAGGGCAGGGCTTCCAGCGTGCCTTACTCAAGCCTGCTCATTTCCTGGCCCTCGTGCCTGCAGTTGGCATGGGGCACTTTGGCTTCCTTGTCCTCTTCGGCCTAGCCGAAGTGACTCAGAGGAGGTTTGCTATTCTTCGCACGGCCGTGAAGGGCTCTGTCCTCTCCTGACCTGCTCCCTCTTTCCAGTGGTCCTTGCAAAACCAGCCAGCCCCGGCATGCCTTGCTTGATGGACAAGGGTGGTGGGTGCTCTGCCAGGCGCTGCCTGGGGCTCTCGGCACCACCTTGTCCTAGCATTTGGTGAGCAGGAAGGACGCAGCACATTGCAAAAGGCAATCTTCCTCTCCTTCCTTGCACAGACACAGGCGGCCATGCTCGGGCCCTAGCAAGGCATGCACACATGCATGCAATATATTGTGGACCCTGGAGACATCGCATGCACGTTATGTGCTGGCTCCTGTCGAGGTTCCCCCATGTGTGCATGCTCTGTGCTCCAGCTCCCACCAGGATTTTGCTACGTTTCGGTTTTGTGGCTTCGCCTAATCCCAAAAACATGCTCTTCAGATGGGCACTGAGAAGCTGCTCTCATGGGGAGGGAAAGCTTTGCTGGGGCCGGACCCACCAGCAGCTCCTCTGGCAGCCCAGGGGCCAGGCAGCATCTCCCATAGGAGCTGGCGATCATGTTTGGGGGCTGGAGGAGCCGGTCCAGCACAGCCGGCCTGTTTTCCAGTGTGACAAAGGGCAGCAGCTCCTGCAGCCAGCACATTTTGTCCCGCCTCCATTCTCCCGAAGCTGCCAGAGATGTTTTTCTTCTCTTTCTCTCATAAAATACTACCAATAAAGTTACCAAAAGCGCAGATGCCCAGGGGAATGAAGCTGTTTGCTGGGGGAGGGAGGAGGGACCCTTGCCCAGCTCCAAGAGGTGCTGGGTTTTTTCTCCAGCAGCAGAGCAGTGTGAATTACTGCTGTTTGTCTTCCCAAATTCCTGCTTTATTTCAGGGCCGCTCTGCTCCTCTACTCTGCAGCCCAGCTAGGATGCGAAAGCCACTCGACCTGTGGCATTTCTCTTTCACAAGAGACTTGCAGCTTTTCACCTTCTTCTCCTCTCTTCCTTACCCTCCACATTGCAAAAGATGCAGAAAATGTGGCTTGCTGGATTTTTGGGGTCTTTTTCAAATGCATTTCACCCTGGAGGAGCCTTCGCGGCACAGGGTGCACCACCCCGATTGATCACTTGGACGGTGGCTCCAATTTGGGCATGCAAGGAGAGGGCAGGGACCCCCCCTGGGTATCCAGCCATGTCTGTGGGCTGGCTGCAGCTCAGCATCCCGGCATCACCCCATTCAGATGCACTCCCGTGGCCCAAAACCACCTTTTGCAGGTGATCTAAGGGTGCCACAATCATGCCACAGGCATGTCGTGACCCAAGCTGAGCCTCATCCCTGGATAGGGATGCCCGAGCTGGCCCTCCCTCCCCTGTCCTGGGGACCACTGGGTCTCCACATCCTGGCCATGGGTCCGGGTGGGCACCCTGGCTGTCCTGCTTACCCCGGCTAAAATTAATTGATGTTCCCAGCTCACCATGTACTGCAGGAAATC